TTTGAAAGTTATTTATTAAAAACTTTTATTATTCAAAAAAAACTTTCCGCCATTCTTTTTGCTGGGGACTGTATATACCTTACTTTAACCCTAATTCTAATCTTAATCTTAACTTAACTTTAAACTATATAATACTAATATATATGACAAATAGGGTTTCACATATGAAAAAATTTTTAAGTCTTCAGAATATATACAAAAAATAAAAAAGTGATACAAATTATAAAAGGGAGTAATAATATCACATCTAGAATAAATAAATTTATTCTATTTAAAAAATATGATTATAATAATTATTTTTTAATTTTAAAAAACTAATATTAAAATAAATATGAAGAATATTTTATTATAGAAAAGAAAATATAATATTAATAAATATATTTATAATATAATTAATTAATATTAAGTAAAGTTAAAGGTTTTGATAATATTAATAAAAATAATTATTTTTGAAAATATTATTAAAGCTTATATAAATTATAATTAAATTATTATTTAACTTTTTTTTTATTTATATAAAATATTTTTCTATTATATAAAGAATAAATATAAGGTAATTTTATAAGATTTATATTTACGTTAAATAAAATCTAATAAAATTTTATTTATAATAATTTTATAATATTAGATAAATTTATAGTAATATAAAATAATATAAATGAAAATATTGTTAATTTTATAATATTATTTAAATTTGTCTAAAATTATGCAGTAACTAATTAAGAATTATAATGTTTATTTATAATAATTATAATTAATTACAACTCAATTTTAATAATATTTCAATTAATTACAATTTTATAATGTTTATTTATCATTAATTACAATCAATTATAACTTAATTTTTAATAATATTAAAATTAATTATAACTATATGATGCTTATTTATCATTAATTATTAATCTATATTTAGATTTATTGATTTTAATTTATAAATTTTTTCAATTTTATTATAATAAATATGTTTTATAGTTTATAATCATCAATTAATTTTTTGATATATTTTTTTAGATATAATAATTATTTAAATGAAAAATCAATTATCAAATATATTTAAAATAATATTTATTAAATATAAATATAAATTAATTTTAAATAATTAGTTAACTTAAAATTTTAAATAAAATTTATTATAAAAAGCTTTATAAATATATAATATAATTATTTGGGATTATTAATTTAATTTTAATTTTAATTTAAACTTTTTTTATTATAAGTTATAAGATTAAAAATTTATTAACAATTATTTTATTTAAAAATAAGTTATTATATTTTAATTTTATTTTATAGGACTATTGAATATAAATAGCTATAAATAAGTAGGTTCTTATAAAAAAAAATAGAAAATCAGAATTATATTTTTTTAAAATGCTTATTTATATTATAGTCCAATTAAATAGTAATATGTAAACATTATTTATTTTAAAAAAATTATAAAACTTATTAATTATAAACTTAAAATTATTATTAATATATAAATATTAAATTCTTTAATATCAATTTTTTATATCTTTAAGTTAAATTATAAATAATTATAATAAATATATTAAATATTTTACTTATATATGCTTCTAAGTTTTTTTTTAATTAATTTTAATATTCTAAGCATTTATAAAGAATATGCCCTTTCATTTGTAATATTATTAAATAACTTCTATAAATATATAACTAAATATTAAAACTTTATTTATTACAATTATTAGAATTAAATGTCAGCATCATTTACGGCTAATTTCAAAAGTCACGGGACATCCGATAATATCCACATATACTTGTGGGTTATACTCGGAATACAACGTAGCGATAAAGTTTTTTTATCGATCTGCAAAATGATCGGCCGTCCCGTGACTTTTGAAATTACTAAATATCAAAGTTTATTTTAAAGCAAAATAAATAAGGTTTTAGGTATAATTTAGAGAATCTTTTATATTTTATTATAAACTAAAGGAATAATAACCGTTGAAACAATCTGAATTGAATCCTAAATTAATTTCTCGGCCTGAAAAGATTATAAGTTGCAAATAAATATACGATTTGCAACTTATGAAGCATTAATTGCATAATTTTAATTAAACGGAAAATTTATAAATCGAACCACAATCACATTACACACTTGTGTTGAAATAGGTATCATGAAAATCTCATTTAAAGAACCTATTAAAATGTAGTTAAAGGCGCAGTAATTCTCAAATTAAGGAGTCAAATATATTATTATAATATACTTTTTCCGAAACATTAAAAACGCACATTAATAATAACTCTTATAAATAACCTCCTTTTATTCCAAATATTTGGTTTTTTTTTTTTTTTTTTCTTGTAAATTCCGCCCAAAATTAATCTATCAAAATTTGATTTTAAAGTTGCTTGAAATTAGGTAGGTTAGATTCGATAATAAAAATTGTACAATGTACAATAATAAAAAGTAACATAACTTGGCATGATTGTGAACTAGTAATTTTTTATTTTCTATAATTGACAAGTTTCTTGTTTATATTTGTTGGTGATACCTCAATTACCATACGTACGTTTACTAACACGGTCCCTTCTCATAGTCTGTTCCGTCCGACCACTCCGCCCCAAAAGTCAGACTCTCCAGACAAAAAATAAACCAAGCCAAACCAAAGTTATCAAAGAAACCTCGGTTAATCCATTTGTTCCGCGTTCTTTTTGTTTTTTCTTTTCGGGTTTTAAAGTCCTATATACAACACGTTTTATACCAATACCACTCTCACAAAGATTTTTAATAATAAAATATAGGCTATTCTAATTTTAAACAAAATTTTCCTTTTCCGCATTTTTATCTCATCAACTTTGCCAATAAATTTATCTTATGGCAGCAACAATTCATAATGATCAATTACAAACTCCTCAACATCCTCAGCATCAACATGTTCAGCAGCAGTCTGCAAGGAACCGTCCCGTGTCGACGCCTGTACCGATAAATTACCCTAGATATCCAGATATTATACAACAGCCTCCTCCACCAATACCTCAAAGTTCTGTTCGAAGAGGAAACATGTTTGGTCCATATCTTTTGTTACAGACTTTAGGTGAAGGTGAATTCGGTAAAGTAAAACTAGGGATGCATGTGGACACAGGTGAAGAGGTAAGATCTCTAAGGCCATGAATTACAAATACTTTGTAGCATTCAATCGATTGCAGTAAAAAATTAACATATCTAGAAACATCAATTAACACATTGTTAATTTATTTTTGTTAGGTTGCAATTAAGCTTATTCGTAAAGAATCAGTTGATACGCCATCCAGACTAACAAAAATTGAGAGAGAAATTGGAGTATTACGGGTACAAATCGTTAAATTTTCGTTTTGTCGTTTATATATATGTATATATAATCTTAAAACTAACTTTGGCTAATCTTAAATTTTTAGGGTGTAATGCATCCAAATATCGTAAAATTATATGATGTATTTGAAACAGATCGTTATATTGGTATAATCATGGAGTACGCCTCTGGTAAGTAGCTAGGATTAGTTTGAAACGTAGCTTTGCTTTGCTTTATTGCGTACGCGGCATCATATATATCAATGAATTAAACATGTTGTGTAAATTGAACCTCCAATAAATAGGTGGCGAATTATTTGATCATATATTAGCACATCGATATCTCAAGGAACGAGATGCATGTCGATTATTTGCACAACTCATAAGTGGTGTGAATTATTTACATCAAAAAAATATCGTACATCGTGATTTAAAACTAGTAAGCCAAATTATTTCGAAAATTTTGAAATCTTGAAATTATAATTCTTTTTGATAATTTAGAAAAAAATTTAAAATCTTTTTAATAGGAAAATCTCTTGTTAGATCGTAACCGTAATATTATTATTACAGACTTTGGATTCGCCAATCAATTTAATGGAGCACATGACGATTTAATGGCTACATCTTGTGGTAGTCCTTGTTATGCGGCCCCGGAATTGGTAATTAGCGAAGGGTTATATGTTGGAAGTGCAGTAGATATCTGGAGCTGTGGTGTAATTTTGGTATTTATTCAACATCGTATCATCTTTATTTATTCCTAATGTGTTACGCATTATGTTAATTAAAAATCTTTTGATTGATGGAAAATAAATAGTACGCAATGTTATCAGGATATCTTCCATTCGATGATGACCCCCAAAACCCTGACGGGGACAATATAAATTTACTTTATAAATATATCATTAATACACCACTGGTATTTCCTGACTATGTAAGCCCCGATGCAAGAGATTTACTCAGGAAAATGTTGGTTCCTGATCCAACAAAAAGATGTGATATGAAAATTATCATGTCTCATCGGTAAATAACTGGATAAATTTTATGATAACTTATATTAATTTATACATACAATCATTTAAATTATTTTCTTTTTTTAAGATGGTTAGCGCCATACGCGTCTATTTTTGATTATTCCATTCAAGAATTGGAGGTACTTCTTAATGTGAAACTCATTCAAAGAATATAAAGAATCATTTACTAATTAAAATAAATTTCAAAATTAGGCTGCTGCTAACCCTGTACCTTCATTAGTACCCCCAGAATCTTATCTCCCTTCTGGAATTTCAGCTTCTAATAGCTACTTAACGGCTGATTATATGGCAGAGCAGCCAAGTACTGCTCCTGTTAACACAGTGCCTACTGTTAAGAGACACACAATTCAAGTAGAATATGATTATCCTGATAACCCTGTAGGCTATGCAGATTATCCAGACGAAGATTTCTTATTTGTTGATGGTACACGTCTTGGTGCTAATCCACTACCGACAGCTACATCGGATATGATTCTACCTCAAGAACAGGAAGAAAAAATTTTACATAATAAAAAGAATAATGTCTCTGGAAATTCACTAGACCTTAATTCTAATAGTGAAAAGCTTCATAATACTACTTCAGATAAAAGTAACTGCATATCGACCCCATCAGGAACTTCATCAACAACTACTACAAGTACAAAAACTTCTGCAAATGCTAGTACCGGATTATTTACATTATTTGAGAGCGATCCTAATAATAATCAACGCGAAGATAAGACAAGAGTTAATAACGTTAAAAACAACCTTACTGTACCGTCGAATGGTCAACTTGAACCCCCACATATGGAAATACAAAAGAGTTCTTCTCAAACTCCTAAGAAACGAGATGCTCCACGTACAAGACCCGTTACTGTTCATGGTCCTCCATCCAGCTCGCAAGACTTGGTATCGACACCTTCGCAAAAGAAAAATTCTAATTCAACAAACAAACAAACTAATAATAATCGATCCGAAATAACTTCACCCAAAATTCATACACTCTCACCCATAAGTACACCACCTTCAATTCCTCTTCCACCAATTCCGGGTCGTCGCGAGTCATTACCTCCTGTTTTGCCACCTACTATTTCCAATGGTCAAAAGAAACATAAAAGAGGACTTTCGTCAGAAAAAATTTTCAAATTTTTGGGCAATGGAAATGTTACTTCACCCGTTTCTGTTGATACTTCTAACATTAAAAAAGGATCTGACACATTATCACCTTCAACTCCACAAATTTCACAATCAGCTCATTTACCTGTAAATCATGATATGCCTTCGGATACAGCATCAGATTCAACTAGTGCAATTGATGATATCAGTGATTCAAAGAGTAAAAGACGTCCTAGTAAGAGAAAAGCTTTGAGTTTAATGGTTGACACATTAAAGGGGCCAGCAAGTCAATCGACGCATAGTGTTGTATCAGGTAGCAATGTACCAGTTAAAGATAAGAGAAAAATCGCCACTGGTACGTCAGCCGGTAGTTCTAATGCCGCAAAAAAAGTTATGGATTGGTTCAGAAGAAAATCTTTGGGTAAGTTCGGGTTTTTACATAGTATAGCAATATTATATAATGTATATATGAAAAGCGGCATATTTTTTTTCATTTTGACTCTATCATCACGTATATAATATTTCTCTTTATTATTATTATTATTATAGCTAAACAAGATGATTTACTTCATGAGACTGGACGTGAACCAGCCAAAGATGAACAAACCAACAATCTTAATAATGATATGTCTTCGCGTCGTTCAAAGATTAAATCTAAACGACAAAAGAATAATCCTTCAGTGGTTGTAACTCAACCAAATAGCAATGTTAATAGTCCATCATCACGGTTATCTATGATGACCACTAATAGTAACGTGGATTCAAAACTCCGAGTACACCATGGTGCCGTAGATCAATTAGCTTTGACATCTCGACCACCATACGAAGTATTCATAGTTGTTAAACAAACTTTAGTTAGCATGGGTATTGAAATTAAGCGTGAAGGTGATTTCAAAGTTAGATGCATCAGACGCAGACGTAAAGTTATTGATAATGGTAAACCAGTTGGTAAAGAGACTTTCAGAAGTCAAAAAAATAAAGAAAAAGACAGTTTAGCAACCTTGGAAAATTCTGAGGGAATCATAGACCTCCTAGCCGAAAAGAAACGAAGAAAATATTCGACAGGCCCTTTGAAAACATTACTGCGTCGTACGAGTTCTAATAACACAAATCAATTAGCTTCATCAACGTCAACGTCAACATCATCACTAGCGCATAGTAATAAATATAATTTACCCACAAATGTAACGAATGATGTACTATCTGTTCCAATGATTTCGACAAAAAGCAATAGTAATACTAACAATGGAGGATCACCTTCTGTTCCAAATAGTCCAACTTTTGGTCCCGTTATGACTGTAACTAGTCCGAACGACGGTACACCGTTACCGATTAATAATCATTCAAATTCAATTTTAACTACTCCAGAAATTTTATATGGTGATCCAACCGTAGATTCTGGTGAAGAAATTCGATTTGCCGTTGAATTGTGTCGTATTAAAAATCTTCCTGGATTATATATTGTTGATATTAAGAGAATGAAAGGTAACCTTTGGGGTTACAAATTTTTGTATCACACCCTTCTTGACAAATTGGATCTAAAAGGAAAGGGAGGATATTTGACCATTGGTACAAGTGGAGGATTTATTCCATAAAAGAAATTAAGTCAAATTTATTCAGTTAATAATTGCATCATTTCTTTTCAATAATTTTCGTTTAAACTTTACACAATAATAATAGTTTTGGCATTAACAAATAACAATATAATTATTTATAATTTTTTTCTTACGGACTATTTTTTTTTTTTTTTATTATTATTATTTTTTTTACCTTTTTTTTATATATATATTATTTAATATATTAATAACAAAAAAAAAAAAAAAAAAAAAAAAAAAAATTTTGAGATATATATATTTTTTTTTTGAAATTTTTATATTGTTTTCTTTAGAAACAATAGGAAACTTTTTTTTTTTTTTTTTGAGAATCTTTTTCTATTATAATTGAATTACATATATATTTACAAACTACAATAATTAAAATTCCAGGAATTTATTATTTTTATATTATTTTAAAACATCTACAATTTATTTTATTTTGTCAAAAATTGTATAGAAATGAAAAAATCCAATTAAACAACTTATTTATCGAACATTATTTCTTGATTCAAGTAGTTCGAAATTTTTTTTTAGCCAATTCAGCCAACTCAAAAATTCCTTGTTCTCTTGAAACTATACCAGCGTAACCAATTTCTTCTTTAGCTTTAGCACTATCTAATTGATAATCTTTATATAGACAAAGTGAACATTCTCTATTCATACCATCAAAAATCCAAGTCTTACTATAGCCAAGTAAAGGTATAGATTCAACAAAAGTAAAAAAAACCCAAACCAGCCATCTTGGCGCTCTAAAGGTTTTAGAAGGTCTAGAAGGATTGATATTATAAGTTGAACCAACATAAAATTCTAAAAAATCATCCATTTCAACTTTTCCTTCATTATCCTCAATTTCATAAACTCTTTTTGAATTCTTATTTGAAGTAATACAAGAAAGATAAATTGCTTCACAGGCATTTGTAATATGAGTAATTGATAATGTTTGACTTTTTGGAATAATTTTCCAAATAGGATTTCTACATAAATTATATAACATTGGTACTAATACATTATCATCTCTACCCCATAACCAACCTAATCTTAATATAATAATATCGTCAAATGATGACTTTAAAATTTCTTTCTCTGAATGACATTTTGATTTAGAATATGGTGCCCAATCTGGTAATGAATCTATAGGAAAATGATCATTTAAACGGGCGGTAAAGGAAGATATATGAACAAATCGAGGTTTGTTAGATGTTGGTAAAGATTCAACAAGTGAAAGTAATAATGATGTTCCTAGAACATTTATTTTATCATGCTCTTCATAATATCCATATGGTTGAACCTAATCGCGAAAAAAAGTAATTTTGTTTAATAATAATAATTAGAATAATAAAAATTAAAATGGTATGCATACCTTAGCAGCCATATGAACTATAACATTAACACCATTTAACCCTTCTTTTAGTGAGTTTTCATCATTCATATGACCTCGAATTATTTTTATTCTCTCACGACCTTTATCAATATTTCCGGCAGCTTCCAATATTATTTCATCAGAAACACTTGAGCGAGACAAAGCATTTATATTAATATTTTCATTTTGTGATAAAGCATATTGAATAAAATTACGTCCTAAATATCCCGAACCTCCAGTTACAAATAATTTAAGTATCATTCTTTTTTTTTTAAAAAAAAAAAAGGAAAATAATCGTCAATCAGGCAAAAACCTCGAATCCCATACAATTTATCACCAGCACTTTATGATCACGTGATGATTAGCCAATAATTCTTTTTGCATGCAATTCAACCAAATCTTATAAAAGATTCTGCATGTCTCTTTTATTTCAATTGGATTTAAATCAGAGGATTATACTGCCCAAACCAAGTATTTTAATATTGTTTTAAATATTCTATAAAAATAATATAAATATCAAAAGTATACTTATTATACTTTTTTATAAAATATTATTTATTACTATATAGATTTTTAAAGTGTAGTTTTATGATATTACTTTATGTAAATTTATTACAAATCTATGTAAATTTATATAAATTTATTTTATCTGAAAAACTAATAATAAGTAATTTTATTAATACTAAGAAATAGAAACCATTAGTAAATCCAAAACAAAAAATGAATGAATTAGAAATCATTCATTAAACAAATTAAGAATAAATAATAGATATATAAGTAAACATATAATACATTGTATTTATGACATCCATTTTATAGTATTAATGATAATTGATAAAATTGTAATAAATTATAAAATCATATAAATTTGCAGTATTAACAGTAATTTTTTTATAATAAATTTGTAATATTAATAATAATTATATAGTATTATTGGATTCATTTTTAGTTATCTTAATGTCTAAGTCAAAAAGGCTGCAATGATTAATTTTACTTATTAGAATTTATAACTTTAAGATATTTTCTAAGTCTTATGGGTATTTGTTATATTTAAACTAATTTTACAATTTATTATGTCTTAGAATTTAAGATTATTTAATAAAACTTATAATAATAAAAAATTAATGTAAAGTATTACAACAAACTTTAGATAAAGAATAACATTAAAAGAAAAAGTAATTTGTGTAAATTTAAATTGATTTCTTTATAATATTAAAACTCATACTTATAAAAGAGTTTTTTAACTTATAAAAGAATTATACAACTTATAAAAAATTAATTTACAACTTAAACAAAAAGCTATTTTATTTATATAAAATTAATTTGCTATAGTTAACTATTCTGTTATATTATAAACTAACTATTTTTGTAAACTTCAATTATATTATGATAATAAAATCAAAAAATATAGATATAAAATGTAAAATAAATAAAGATAATAATAAAAATAGAAGAAATAATAAAATAATGAAGATATTTAAAAATAGGAAATTACTCATTATTATAAGTATAAATAAAATTTGAAGTATTAGAAGAATTAGATAAATTTATTTGATCAAGTAAATCACGTAAAATTTTAATATTTTCTGATTTTTTATCACAGTAGTTATTGATTATTAATATATATTATTGTCTGATAATTTCTATGTAACATTTTCTGTATTTGTAATGACATCTATTTTAAAGCTAAAAATATTAATAATTTTTTAATATTAACAGTAATTTATAATTTAATAATAATCATAATAATATTATAATATACTAAGTAATAAAAACTATTATAATATTTAAAATGTTAATTTATAATATTTAAATGTATCATAAAAAAATAACTCAAATTTTTATTATTTAATTTAAGAATAATTATATCTGAAAATTAGATTATATGATAATATAATAATATATCTTATTAGTTAATCATGTGTGCGAATAAACAGACATTATATTAAAATAAGTCTAATTAAAAATATTCTTAGTTATACTTTAGATAAATAATATATTAATTATTAAATGTAAAAGAAATATATAAATTATATAAAGCTATTCTTATATCTTTAATAATTATACAGATTTTATTATTATTATCTTAAAGATGAAAAAAGTCATCTTAATTAAATCTATTTAATATATTTAGAAGGATAATTTAAATATATTATATTTATAGATGAGAGACGAAACCCTTAATAACAGTCAAAACTTAGACAAACTATATTAAAATTATAATAAGGGATATGATAAAACAGGACCCTGAACAATATATGTATATGTTAGATTTGAGATTGCTTATTGAACATAGAAAATTTTTGATTAAGTTACCTAAAATTTTGCGTAGCAGATAACAAAATTTTAATATAGTCAGATATGTATTTGCATAGAAGAGATAAAAATTATCAAACTCAGTAATTAGTTTGCATAGTAGAAACATATTTTTGGAAATATGTATGATGTCAAATATAATCCAAAAAAAATAATTATACCTTTTAAATTAAGACATATAAATAAAATTAACACATAATTTTTAAATTAATTTAATATGTGATGGTGTAATAAAACTTTTGATCTATTTTTATATGTGATTGTTATTTTGTTATTTTTCTTTTGCTTTTTCTGTAAAAAAATTGTATGCGAAATGATTTGAAAATTTTTAATTTGATGATTAATTACAGTTGCACAATTAATTACAGTTGCATAATTAATTACAGTTGTACGATTAATTATAGTTATACTGAAAATCAATTTTCCAATCTTTTTTTTTTTTTTTTTTTCAAAAAAAAACACTTTTATTTTTTTTAACATAATCTTTAAAAAAACAACCTTATTTTTTAAATACTTTAACTTGTAAGAACTCTTATAAATGTAATTATTTTATTTTTGTAAATTTTAATTTTTAAATATATTTAATATCTTTTTTTATGAATGTTATCCAAAATCTCAAAATCTAAAATTTAAAAGATTAAAATCTTGAAATCCAAAATTTTAAATAAAATAAGAGTGTTTTTTTATTAAAAAAAAGATTTTTTTATAATGTATGATAATGGAAGAGTTAGTTAGTAAAATCTTATTTACTAAGTAAATTTATCCTTAAAGAAGCTCTTATAGGTTTCTAATTCTTATTTAAAGGTATGGTAACCTTACTCTAGAAGCATATCTTCAGATAGTTGTTACTTAGTAAAGACTACCTAAAATAACTTAACCTACCATCACAGACTCACTAGCTTACAGAATACTATTACCTTGAATAAAAAACTTACTTTAACTATAGAACTTGTTACATCCTATTTTTACTAATTTAATTTATAAGATTTTACTCTATTAATAACTTTTAAAACTATAAGATCAGATTCTTTACATAGATAATGATTTTGTATCTATATCATCAAATTTATCTAAGAATTGAATCTAACCCTCTACTCTTAGTGATAGCTTGATTAGATAGTACTGTAATAGTATAATATAATCTATTATTACTATAGCTACTTAAAAGTAATACCTAATCTATTAATTACTGATTAATTATTTCTTTACTTGTATAAGAACCTCTGAATTTAAAGATATGAGA